GGTGACCAGACGTCCTCTTTTCCTGGACATGTCCTACTTTTTATAACTAAAAAATGTCCGGGGAGAATTTCAAAATCGTCCTGTACAGTACAGGTCTGGTCCAGTCAGCAGCCCAGCACTTCATGCACTAGTCAGAATGAAACAGCATTGGATGTCACACTCATGACAACACTTTATGTTGCACAAAGTGTTTGTCCACTCAGTTCCTCATTGAAACAGAACCGAGGTACAGAAACCCACATTTGGGTTTTCTGCTGTTTTGGAGCAATCTAGCAGTAAAACTGGTTTAAAACTACAGATGAGGAGCCGTCACTCCTGGTTTCTAGAACCAGTTCTGCTCATTTCTGAACCATTTTAGGTTGACTGGTAATGTGAGAGCTAAAAAAAGTGGGGGGCGTCCCTCAGCTGTAGACCAAGCTTCCTGAAAACCCGAAGGGAGTTCAGGTTTTAAATCTTTTTAAAAGTAAAGAGAGAACGACTCTGATCAGTCAGGCTTAAAGTTTGTTCTGTTTAAAAAAAAGTACTATGGTAGTTTATTATATACCATTTATTTAAAAATGTAAACAACTAATTTTAGGTGTGTAGATTTAGACTGTCCTTGGACTCAATGCACGCTCTATTGAACTATAATGAGTTTACCATTTATGAGCATTGTTTGTCAGTATTCTGGATTTTATTATATATCGGTGTTCATGATCTTAGCTGTTTTATACCTTCTTTCTGTCATTTAATATGTCTGCTTGTACAATATCCATATGTACCCACTGTTTCCCAGTTATTTAACAGCTCCTTATGCTGTACAGTTAAAACTTTCCAACTGTTTATATCCAATAAACATCTAGTTTGTCTGTTTTATTTAATTAATTATTTTATTCTCTCTACCTTACTGGTTAAATGTCTGTTTTCTTTTTATGTTTTTCACCTCCAGCAATACAGGTCAATTAGGTAAGGGGGTAATGTCAGTTTCAAATTATTTTGCTCATCAAAAGAGTTCAAATCATCATGTCAACTTATGTGTTAAACAGTGATTAAGATGAATATAATGAATGCTGTTATTATTTTAATGCTAGTTCAGTGTTTTTATTTTATTTTGAAGAAATAATACTTTTTATAGCAGCTCTATTTATATAGATGACCTACTGATGAGTAAACTATGTGTTGCATGTGTGTAAATACAGAAGATTATGGGAGATTACGTAGTTTCCACATTACGTATGTTATATGTCATAAATGTGTTTTCACAGATACCTTAGATAATTCAAGATGGATCTGTGAGACATTACTCATCTCAGAAAGGATATATATTTATATGGATTCTTATTTTCTGCAATCCTGCAACATTACTGCATTATTATAATACTGACACGGTTAAAAATTTCACACAGGATAATACAGGTTGAACTGAACAGAAGTCAAGCAAAAGCAGCTGAATTTCTAGAGCTTCACAGCATAGAGTTCTTGTAGAGTTTTACATTAACATGTACATCTAAAATGAAATAAAGGGGATGTATTGGGACATAAATCTGATTCCTCTGCCAATCCTCTGGTTCTGCCTGTCTGCCAGGGTCACGATGGGCTGGTGTCAATCTCTGGCAGTCTATAAGATGTGGAGTTTGGAAGCTGAGACGGAGGCATTTCTTGCAAGAAAAAAGGTTTAAATGTCATCATTACTGTGTGATAACATTCCCACATCTTGCAGTAAGAGTGAAACTATAAAACAGAGATGTTCTGAGGGAAAAAAAGCAGAAGAGAAATGATCAATGAAAAAATTAAAACAGAGAGTGAGGGTGTGTCCTGCTAAATGAGAAGGGTTTCTCTGTCAGTGGAAATCCCGGAGATAAAGTGCACTTCGCTTTCAGCTTTTACGTTTTAGAGGTGGATTCGTCTTTATTGTCAGTTTCTGCATTACTACGAGGTGTCATTTATTTACTCATTAGCTCTTCCACATCAAAGTTTTTGAAATGTTAATGTTTTTAGCTTTGTATAAATGCATGGATTGTATTATTTTACAGCTTGGAACCAAATGGATGATAAAACGACAAAATAAAACAATCTGTTCCCTTCTGCAATCATTTGAAATGCTTTGAATTCATCTGAAGTGCAAATCCATTTGTTTTGTAATTTTGTTTCACTGGATCACATTGAAATCCTTTTATACTTTAGGATTTTAACAGATAAGGGGACAAAATCTACTTCATGATTCACGGTTTTGTTGTTCTTTCAGAAAAGCAAGTTTGTTTTATGCATCCTTATTTTTCCCTAACAGACAGAAATACTTAAAACACTCCAAATAAACGATATTTGCAATGATCTTGGTGCTGATGTCTGGTCTGATTACTCATTTCATTCACCTGCCTATCTCTGCCCATTTCTCATTACCTTCTCATCTCATCCACCTGCTTCAGCCTCTATTTAACCAGCCTTCAGACATGTCATCAGGGTGTTTCTGATTGCCTGATCCTGATCTGTTCTGCCTTTGGACCTCTGAGCCTGCTTGTCCCCGTTCTGATCTGTTTGCCTGACCTATCCTCGGACTCCTGCTGGATTCTACCTGTTTACCAAACCTGGAACTGATTCCTGTCTCCATCCTGGATTTCTCTCCGGTAACCCTTTGAATCTCTGATCTCCTGGCTCTGATTCCTGAGCACGTCCTCGACACCGGCTTTGGCTTCGCCCTCTGGATTATCCTACCTTCGTCTGCTCGGTTCTGATCTGCCTGTTCTCTCCAGGACTGCCGTGTCTGGGACTCTCTAGGCGCCCATTGGCAGCTAACCAGCTGGAACAAGCCTCATCCTCTGTAAACGGACTTAACTTTAAGACGAAAGGTTCCTGCCTTGGACGGCCACACTATTCACTGCAAATTCATTATCGTATTACCTTTTTGAGAAATCTGTCCGTCTGCCTCAAATTCTGGATCCTACTGATCCTAAAAAAGTTTAACTACTATATAAAACAGTTTAACTCCTAAATACTGTCACTGATCGTGACAGTATTTCGGAGTTAAACTTTTTAAAATCTACAAAACATGATAAGCATTTAACTTATGGGTTTTCTTAAATTATATAGGATATCAATGGTTTGCATTTAAAAATAAAACATTTGTTATTTATGGCTTGATGATGTTACTGAGTCCTTACGAGGGGCGGATCTAGAAAAATATTTATGGGGTGGCAAGAGGGGGGCAGGAATGTTTGAGGGGTGGCAACATATGGCATTTGTTTACGCTGAATTTAATCGCAGTTATCACAGTTTGGTGAGAATATTATGTACAATAAGTGTTTCATGTGAAGCAGTTTATATTAGAAATGCATCGTACAATGAGATCTCACTTAATAGGAGATAGAAGAATGATAACACTGCTTCTAGAGGGCATTATCACAGGAAAGGTATTAAGGTAAGACACAGGTGCTGAGTCGCAGATGTGTGAGATTGACTGTCAGAGAGGCAGCTTTGCAGCATTTGCACAAGAAGAAACTATAGAAAGAAAAAGTTTCCCATCAGAGATCTACGGACTGAGCTGGACTAAAGTGAGCATAACTGCACAGTAGAAATAAATGGGTCAAGGCACCCAAACAAGGTACCGGACATTCATGTATTGTTTACTCTGAACACACATTTACCCCATTTGTTCCTCAGTAACTTGACATACAGCAGTTAAGGCGACATGAAAGGGACATTTCATGCATGTAAATATGCTGTAGATAGAGCTGCTGGATCAACAAATCAACAAAAAGGCAGGTACTGTATGTTACATCAAAATCTCCACAAATCTGAAAAGAAGCAACATAAAAATAAATTTTGCTTCCAATCTGTAAAAGTACAAAACATTTTGTGAGTAGGTTCATACGGGTCATTTCTGGATACTTTCATACTATATATACAAAAAAAAAAGAAACAACAACACTGCTTCATATTAAGCAGAATTTAGACCAGTATCACAATTTTAAATTTACTTTTAACACTTTTGATTTTATTAAAGGAAATATCAGATTTTCTCAGGTGCCAAAACAAAATGTAACAGTTCTGTAAAGGCTCACCAGAGAGCAGAACATTAAGTTGACATGACTATAACAGCTGAATGCAGTGATTTCCATGTTGCTCAGCAAAACGCTTCACAACTTTATTTAGATCCAATCCCTTTTTGCGTTTTCAAACTTGATAGTCTCTTTTCTGTCATAGTTGACCGCAAATATGTCTTTATGAGCCTGAGATGTCAGGCCTAACTAACATTATAGTTAGAGAAATAACGTTCTGCAACCTGATTTTTATCATCTCAAAATCAGCATTGCAGCTATGCTAGCAACATTGTGCTTTCATTATGATTTAATTTCTCAATAGACAGTTTTTACCTGTTTCATCCCATGTCTCCTCTCCCTATCACCCCTGGCTCCCTCGCTTTGCTCCACCCGGTTTTCAAAACTAATCAGTCTCAGTCGCTCTCGCGTCATTTCGTGCTGCATTCACTGCAGTCCGACATTGGAAATTAGCGGTCGCAATTCTCAAATTATCCATCATTTATAAGCCTCGCCACCCCAACAGCCAACTGGGGTGGCAAGGCTGTCTTTTAGGGTGGCAGTTGCCACCCTATGCCACCCCAGTAGATCCGCCTATGGTCCTTACCAACAACAAACATGTAAAATGAATGATGATGTTTCAAAGATAATTTCTTTTGACTACAAGGGAGACAAGCAGAGCAATTTAAAAAAAGAAAATTGGAAAAATGATCAGAGTAGATCACAGGGTTGACTTTTGTTTTAGTATCAGGCAGTAAGAAGGACAGACAGGCAGCCGGGAAAACAGACAAGTACTCATTGAAATCAGATGCAGACGAGGGCTTTTTTTCACTCCCTTAATGTGCATCTCATGCATTTTGCCAGACGGAAAAAAAGTTCTAAGATGTTTTTTTTTAGGTGACTATACCTTAAAATATCATCCATGCAGCTGTTTATCACAATTATGATCCTAGATTTAAATATTCTTCAAAGACAGCTCCGTCCTACCTATTGGCAGCAATGAAGCCCATGAACAGGATGCTGGCGTACATGTTGAGATAGAAGGCAGCGGCTCCAAAGTTGCAGTAGACCTGCCGGATGAGGGTAGAGTTACTGGCGAAGTTCATGATCCGCAGCGGGAGGCAGAGGCTGATGAGGAAGTCGGAGGCTGCCAGGTTCTTCAGGTAGATGGTGACGCTGCTGGATGGACGATGCTGGGCTACACAGAAGTAAACCCTTAATGTGAAGCCGTTTAGGACTAAACCCACCTGAGGAGGACAATAACTGGGTCAGACTGGTTCAACATTTTTCACGCCATAAAAATTAAGCTAACAAGTACTTACCAGAAACATCACACTGTAGAGTACTATAAAAAAGGTGTTAGCCAGATTGTTTACGGGTTCACAGGAATTAGTTCTGTTCATTAGTGCAGAATTAGTGCCGTTCATCATTTCTGGCAGGGTGGATGACCAGGTTGGGCTGGTTCCTTCAAAGTGGCTCGAAAAACGAAGTCTGTGAGAAATAAGAGGAATTACTGCAAGGTTATTAACTTGATGCAATCGGCTATCCACAATGACCACACGCTATTTCAAGAGGAAGCATTGCTTCAAAGTTATTGATGTAATGCAATTGACCAGACGTGATACCCACGTATAAATGCTTGTGACACTACTTAAGTAGAGTTTTTGTTATCTTTACATATTATCACTACATTTAAAAGCAAATATCTGTACATTTTACTGCTTACTTTCTCCAAACTGGCTTTTTACTTCTACATTTATACATGTATGATGGTAAACAGCTGCATTTATAGAGGGAAAATCAGCAGTTAAAACATAAACAGTCCATTTGGACCAAAGTTTGTTCAGAGAAACAGACTGATAATGACATTGAGGCTGAAAATCCTTTCAGATTACAGATCAGATTATCTGAATGGTGACCACATCACGGTGTACCCCACCTTTCGCCTTGCGGAGTAAAAAATGCTGAAATGTGTCTGTTCTTAGTCTCACAGGGTCCAAACGAAGGTCATGAGAGATAAGAATGAGTCACACAGCCTCCTTCATTGCATGAAGAGGAGGACTGTTGTTTTGAGGAGATCCATGTGGCCATTGAAAGATATATTAACCCAACAGTGAGCGTAATGAACTCCAGTTGTTTTTCCTCCAAATGTTCAAGTGTGAGAAAGTTCTTTATGCAGGGGGTGGGTTGGTTCCCCTGGGATGAGTGATTGTTGGGAATTTTTTTAAGGTATAAAGTCAGAGCCCTATCTCTCCATCTGAGGATGTTAAATAAATGTGAACCTTTTTTCTTGGAAGAAATGCCTCTGTCTCAGCTTCCTAACTCCACAGCCTATAGACTGCCAGAGATAGACACCAGCGCATCGTGACGGTGGATAGGCACAACCAGAGGATTGGCAGAGGAATCAGATTTTGAGACACAAAACCGTCTCAATACACCCCCTTTATTACATTTTAGATGTACATGTTAATGTAAAACTTTACAACAACTCTATGCTGTGGAGCTCTAGAAATTCAACTGCTTTTGCAGGACTGCTGTTCAGTACAACCTGTATTATCCTGTGTGAAATTTTGAACCGTGTCAGTATATTCTATAATCTCTCTCTGAACAAAGTGATCAACAACGGAAAAGTAAACAGTTTATTTGTAAAGCACAGTTCAGTACAACTACAACTCATAGTGCTTTACATGAATTAAAAATCAAAATAGAGGTAAAAATAAAAGCAGAATAAAAGCAAATCGAGATAAAAAAACATTACAAAAGCAGATAGTAAAACAAATAAACCTGTTGAACCACAACCTGCCCAGGGAGTTTGTTCCAGAGAAGAGGAGCAGAGGAACTAAATGCTGCTTCTCCATGTTTGGTTCTAGTTCTGGGTGTACAGAGTAGACTGCATCTAGAAGACCTGGGTGGTCTGGGAGGCTGATATTCAGTAATTGCAGTTTTAAAAGTCATTTTTTACTATTTGGGGTGAAGGCTTCATTTTCCTTTTGTACTTAAGTTGCCTACATATGTAGAACCTTTCTTTTTTTCTTTTTTACTTAACAAAAGGAGTTTAATAAGTACTTTTACCAGTCATTTTATACACAGGTGTCTGTACTTTTACACTAGGGTGACCAGTATGGGGCGAGATAACATCAATAAAACCAGATGCGTAGGTGTCTACATTTGTAATGTAACTCAGAAATTAGAGAAATTTAAGATTTTTGTTTGCTGCTTGTTTTTATCTCCTATTTACATGTGACATCAGATTTTTTTGTTTTATCTTTGAGATGACAAAATTAGAAAATCACAAACACAACAGTTTCAACTTTCAAACAATGCCAATCTCAAGTTTATAAGAACAAAGAAATGAATATGAATCGTACAATTACGAATTCCTGTTTGTAAGGATCAAATACAAATAATAACATTTAAATTATGTTGTTAGGTTTATTAAATGATGATTATAAAGTTAATGTGTGTGCATATGAAACATTGAAGAAATAAGATGCTATATTCTGTCCTGTGATTCAATCAGGAGGGTCATTCTAGTTTATGACTTGCCTTCAGCCAGAAGGCCTTTACAGGGTCATACACTTTTATGACCTGCCTCTCAGCCAGATGGTCATTCTAGGGTCATAGGACGCAACCCATTGTGTCATGTTTTATTAATAAAATACTCTGCTGTTCTGGTGGGGGGCAGAAAGGTGCTGAAATGTGAGCAGGCAGACTTTCTCCTCCTGCAGGAAGTTGTGTTTGAAAATCCCTTGGTGTGTCAGATTCATTTTTTGTCCTATATGAACTCACAATTTTTTGAAGCTAACATATTTATACTGATTTACATTTACAAATTAATACACCTATGTATACATTTTGATTGACAGTTATCCCATGGATCATACTTTCCTGTTTTGGACTACATGTCGATGCCAGGCTGTTTCTGATTTTAGGGTCTAATCAATTAGAACCTTTTTTTTTTTACATATAAACTATTATTATGGCAGACAATTAGAAAAGTCAGTTATGCTGCCTTTAAAATACAAAAAGCTTATATTAGTTTATTGTATGTTAGGTTTATAAAACATGCGGGGAAATCTGAATATAGAGAGCAATTTACAAACAAGTAAGACATTTTGTTTGTAAATCAGATCACAATCTTGTTTTTCTCTCCTTGGAGTATATGTGGCACCCGAGAGGTGCAATTAAAAAACAACAACAAAAAAATAAATCTAACAAGAAAGTAAATAACTTCAAAATAAAGCAAATCCAAATTAGAAAAATAAAACATGCAGTTAACTTCAAGTAAAGGGGAAAAAAAGGCCACATTACCACATATGCGCCTCATTATAAGAGACAACCTGGATTAAAAAGAGCTGTAAGAAGATGGTCACCAGAAGCTAAAGGAGCCCTGCTAAGTTGCTTTGAGGTTACAGACTGGAAAGCACCGTGTCAGCCACATGAAGATGACATCAATTCAATCACTAAGTGTGTGACTGAATATATAATCTTCTGTGTAGATAACACCATCCCTACCAGAACAGTGAAATGCTTCTTAGCGATTCAGCCAACAGTCATCAGTGACAATAGCGCTGTTGACCTGACAACTCACATCATGAAGGTTCAAGAGAGACTTCATTTGGTTAACCTCAACAAACAAACATGCAGCCATCAGGACCCCCTACAGTTTGCTTTTTGTCATGGAGTTGGTATTGATGATGCCATCCTACACCTGCTTCAAAAAAACCCACTGCTCTTTAGACAAGGCAGACAGGACTGTGAGAATGGTGTCCTTTGATTTCTCCAGTGCATTTAACACAATTCAGCCTGACTTACCATGTGAGAAACTGAAGAAGACTCAGGTGGAAGCATAAACAATCACCGGAATCAAACACTAAATGACAAACAGACAACGGTTTGCTGGACTGAAGGGTCGACTGTTTAATCAAGTAGTCAGCAGCACAGGAGCACCACAGGGGACGATACTCTCATCATTCCTTTTTACTCTGTACGTGTACCAGACAGAGTCCTGTTACCTACAGAAATACTCAGATGACTCATTGGGTGAATCAAAAATGGAAAGGAAGCTGAATACAGAGAGCAATAGAACCGCTTTGTGGCATGGTGTGGAAACGATCATCTGACCCTGAATGTCAACAAAACAAGGGAGATTACTGTAGACTTCAGAAGAAACAGGAAAAAGTTGAATCCTATTAACATCATCAGAGAAGTGGAGGAGTATAAATATTTTCATTTTCACCTGGACAACAAACTCAGCTGGAGACATAACTGTGAAGCTGTCTACAAAAAGTGAAAGAGCAGATTATACTTTCTAAGGAAGCTTAGAAAGCTTCTGCCTTTATAGCAAGATGCTACATAGTGTAACAGTCGTAATTGTGTAGTGTCTCTTTAAGATATTCTGGTATTGCTACGTGGCACTGCTTCTCAGTAAAGAGCGCAGGAGACGTGATGTAGAGAGATACATGCACTCAGACGGATGTGTTAATTTTCTATTTTCTTTGTAATATTACGGGTAGTTTGGACTCTGCATTTTTCATATTTGAGGATATAGCGGCTATTCAACCGGGCTTTGCAATAATGCTGAAGAATGTGTTTATTAAAAGACAGCACTGTGGAATTCCCAGTACCTGTTGTGAGTTTTTGACCGTCCTCACCTTCATTAACCCTAAACGTTACAATGGCTTCATACAGTAATATGACACTGTAAAATCATACAGTACCATTGGAACACATTTTTCTTTTGCCTGGGTCAAGGATGATAGTATAACACCAGTGTGGAGCTTTGACAATACGGAGAGGAGTTAGAGGAGTTAGCGAAATAAAAAAAAAAAAAAAACATCTTATGTTGGGGGGTGGGGGGGAGCTCGAAATGGAACTGGTTTCAAAGTCGAGCGCAACAGCCGCAGTGTGGGAGTATTTCGGATTCAAACCAAATGAACGAGGTGAACCGCTTAACCCATGCGAGCCAGTATGTCGCATTTGTCATAAAACAGTAGCAACTAAGAGCAGAAATACAACCAACCTACACATGCACCTAAAGCACAACCACTCAGCAAAGTTTCTCCAGCTGGGGACAAAAAGTACAAGCGGTGGCCCGCTTGCGTCTACAAGTTTGCGACAGTCCACCATCACTGAAGCAATTTATCGACAGGCAGCATATGAAAAGGACGCCGCAAAGTGGCGCGCGCTCATTGACAGCGTAGTTCATTTAATTGCTAAAAAGATTGCTCCCATTTAATATTGTTGAAAAGGCTGCATTTCGAAAAATGTTGCAGACATTTGATAGACAGGATGAATTCCCCAGAAAACATACATATCACAAACGTGATATTTTGTATATAAGTTTTTATTTCCACTGTTTTTATCTTGTATTTAGTTTTTATTCAAGTGTATTTTTAGTTAACAGAGATTGAGAGGCCATTTGATTTTTATTTCTCGTTTTATTTGTTAACCAGTTCCAGTGTTCTGTTGAAAATAAAGTAGCCTATGTT